AATATCGTTTATTATTTAGTATCTACTGTTATCTACAGCTAGCTAGTTTATTGTGATGGTGCTGTTTTTATTATGTTGCTCTTTCTTTGTTTGCTTTCTCTTCTGTTTTTTTTCTCCATACAGGTGATCCAGGTGTTTTGTTTGTTTTTCTTTTTCTTTCTTCCCCCCCTTCTCACCGTCTCTTCTCCCCTTTGGTTTTCTTTCTCTCCCTCTCTTTCTTTCATTCTCTCTCCCTGTCCTGTCCCCCAGTCATGTCTGTCCCGTTTGTAGCAACTGAAAATAAAATAAATTCATAATTATAATAAAGGTCAATCAAGTGGACCAATATGGCAAGGCCATGATGATCCACTTGGTAAAATAAATCCGCTTGGCATCTTTCTTGGCCTTAAGACAACAATTCTGATGGCTAAAGATCCAAACGGGACACAAAAAGAAAAAAAGAAAAAAGAACAACACCCAGACTCTTGACCTGTAGTGAGGCAGAAACTGAGGAAAAATTGTTACATTTTTAGACAAAGTGCAGTTTTAACACTGGTTAGTTTGATAAAATTGCAGAGTGCTGTTGGAGAATGAGGATTTGACTTCCTAGAGGCAAACACAGATGGCGCTGGGCACATGAGTGCTGCTAGGTTTGGTAGACAGGTGTCAGCATAACAATGGAAACTAATGTTAACTTTATGGAAGATATGACCAAGAGGAAGTAGAGGAGGATAAATAGCAGAGGGCCCAGGAGAGATCCAGGAGGAACATTGTTAATAACTGAAAATGGACGGGACATTTTTGAGTGTGGCCAGAGAGATAGGATTCAAACCAGTTTAAAGGTTTGTCAGTGATTCCAGTAGAAGCTAGTCTGTCCAGAAGGGTGTTATGGGATATAATATCAAATGCTGCACTCAGATCAAGAAGGTTAGTAGTCCGGAGTCAGCTCCTATGAGGAGGTCATTAGAGATTGTAGACACAGTGAGATGCTGAAATAGCCTTTCTCTGGAGTGAATGTTATTTAGATTAAAGCCACATTTGTCTTTGTTTGATTACAACCCTATGAGCAAACAGCTAATACCCCTTTTAAACAGAGGGTCTGAATAGTGGGTGGGTGAGATTTCCTTGCTTACAGAACCAGTAGATGCCTGAGATATCCCCCCTCTATGACCTTTCAAATATTCAATAGAAAAAGTGTTTGAAACTGAGTGTTTACAGCGGTCTGCTCAGCTTTGGCTGCTCAGGGATTCCTGAAACATACGCTGACAAATAATCTGCATTGTCCTGCTCCTTCAGCCATGAGCGACAGCGATGACGATGTTCCCACTCTGTCAGCTCACACTCTGGCCGCCCTGCAGGAGTTTTACAATGAAACGAAGGTTGTTACGGATCACAGCGCTGCACCCACAGACCAGTTTGCTGTGGGAGCCGTGGAGGAGGACTGGGTGAGTTTACGGTGTTTTGTGTTTATTTTTAAGAAGTTCAACTATTAAAACAAGACAAACCATTAATAATCACAAGGATGACCAATTCTAAACCAGATTTGCACGAAAGAGTGAAACAGACCTTTTTATTTGGAGGGTTTAATTCAGCTCATTGTCAGTAAATCGCAGTAATGTGACGGAGTTAATGAAAAGTGAATGTCGGTAACAGATGTCTGTCTGTGCATGTCCACCAGCGGATGAGCCAGTTCTGGTACAGCGACGAGACAGCAACACAGTTAGCCGAGGAGGCGGTACGAGAGGCTGGAGAGGGAGGAAGGTAAAACCTCGCACTCCCACATGAACACGCTGCCCAGATGTCATTAGCTGTTTTTCATTTAGTGAAACAGGATAAAAATACGCTTGAGTTCTGTGACCATGTAGAATCGACGTTTGGTTTTGCTGATTGGCGAGCACTTTGGGCCTCCTTTCCTCTCAGGATAGCATGCCTGAGCGCGCCCAGCGTGTACCAGAAGCTGAAGCAGGGTGTGGTGGACGGTTCAGATCGGGTGTCTGCCGTGGTGTTGGAGTACGACCGCCGCTTCGCCTCCTACGGAGAGGACTTTGTGTTCTACGACTACAACAAGCCGCTGTCTCTTCCGGACAGCGTGTCTCCTCACAGCTTCGACATTGTCCTCGCTGACCCGCCGTACCTGTCCGAGGAGTGTCTGAGCAAAGTGACCCAAACCATCAAATACCTGAGCAAAGGCAAAGTGCTGCTGTGCACAGGTGAGACCCAAACAAGCTCTGATGATGGCACATAAGTAGTTTCCTCACAGAGAGAAGCCTCTGATCATCGTCTAACAACACAGTCTGTCTGTATGAGTCAAGAATAAATGCTAGCTTCTTTGATGTCACAATGAACGAGCGACACAAGCTGCTAAAAAAAAACTAGATTAGATGTGAAATTAAGTATTAAACAGTTTTATTTTTTGGTGTGTTTTTAACATGTGGTGTTTGGGGTGTTTCTCAACAACAGGAGCCATCATGGAGAATCTGGCAAAAGATCTCCTGGATGTAAAAATGTGCAGCTTTTTGCCCAAACACAACAGGAACCTGTCCAATGAGTTCCGCTGTTTTGTCAACTACCCGTCCCGCCTGCTGTCCTGCTGAGGAGCCGGGCGTCCATCAGATCGACGCTTCGTTCCGAGCTCATGGGGGAGGGGCGACATGTGAACCATCTCACATGAAGATCAGCGTTCTCTTCACCAATACACCGAGAATGGAAAAAGATAATCCCAGTGTCTCGCCGTCCTGATGTCTGGGCTTTGGTTTGATGACTGTAAGTTTGTGATTCAGACTGGTTGCGGGAACTTTTGAAGACATGGACTTTATTTCAAGACCAAAGGTTGAACAAAAAGATGATAAGAGGCATTATGGTTCATGTAAGCTTCAGTGTTTTTCATGGTTTATTCATACAAGAGACTGAAAGTTGGGTTAATCACTGTTTTTAAATGCTACACTGCTCGAGTAGCTTTTAAGTAATAAATCTGAAAGTCTAGTCCATCTCAGGTTTTGATACCAATTCAGAGCAGATTACTGTTAGTTATTTAATCTAAATCATGAAAGAGTTTTGGTCAGGTCAGCTCTGTGGTGGCAAAATGAGCGAGTAGAAGAAAAGAGTTCACGGGAATAGATCACCCCGTTCAGCAAACACCCAGAAGGGTGACGAGTACATCAGCTGTTTAGTATTGAAGAGGCAGCAGGAACAACTTTTATTTTTTCTAAAGAACGTTTATTTTCTAACCGCTCAGAAAGCTCAGCTGTTAAACAATTGGGCTCTACTGGGAAACATACAAGTGTTGTATGTTTGTACAGTTACCCAGATAAGTGAGGTAACAGTCGCATATATTTGATGTTTGCTGTTATTAAAGTGTCTGAGTAACATGAAGCGTGGGCTTGTTGCTCTGATCACCTGAGAAAGTTGCAGATGTTGTACAGCAGCAGGTGGCAGCATTGATCAGCTCATTCAGAAGTGAGGCCCTCTGTTGTTGTTTGCTTTTGTTTTGAAAGGTCTGGATCACCTAAATAACAACAACCTCCCATTTTTTTTTACTGCAGCTTGTCATGCAGAGGCAAAACTATCTGCGTTACTTGATATGAGAGTTGCTAAATAAAACATGTGCCTCTGTACTTTTGCCAGAAGCAGACCTTCAGTTTTTATGGTGTAGTATTTGTCAAAGTTTCATTCAGTTTGTTAGAAATCTGTGTGTGTATGTCTGATACACAGATGGTTGCGTTTTAATTCTGAACTCAAAGGTTTGTCTTGGTCGGTCGATCTGTCTGCTGAAGCTCTGTCTGTACTAAACTTTTCTTTTTAAGTGACATTTCCAGGGGCTTCAGTTTCAGACATAATGTTCTAGCACGAGCGAATCAGCTGTAAAAAACAAACAAAAGAAAACTTCTCTGCAGCAGCAGTGCTGCTTCCGTCAAGCTTCCTTTCTTGGAGTAAAGAGCTTCCTGGCTTTAGGCCCTCTCCTCTGCAGGCTCTGGTTGCTCTTCTTCGGCCTCTTCTCCAGCAGCGGCACACAGGTGCATCCCACGGCTATGGAGACGTAGATCTCCGTGTAAGAGTGGCGGCCGCCGACGCAGGAGCCTGTTCTCCTCAGGATGACGGAGGGAGCGTAGACCAGGGTGCTGCGATACTGACTGCTCTCCTCGCCGTACGGTCCGATCAGGCAGCCCTTGCACAGGCAGTAGGCCTCGGGGATGTAGCGGGGATATCTCTTTGTGTCGTATGAGATCCTGAAAATGTATTTAATGATGTTCAATGCACTGGCAGAAACAGCTTGGTACATGAACTGTATATATAAACAAGATATTTTTGTTTTGTACATTTCCCTGGAAAAAAAAAGAACCATGCAAAATTTCTTGTGACAAAATCTGAGCTCTCAGAGAACTTCTACTGATGCCATCCCTCCCTTTTCCTAATATATTGGATATTGGATGGAGCCCCAGCTGTTAAAGGGCAGGAGGCCTTACTAGAAAAGCAAATAGACTACAATAGTGTACTTCAAGAAAATTTGGGTGGCTATACCTGCACAAATATAACCTTCAGGGAACACTTAAGAACTAAGTTCAACACAAGTTTGTAAATAAATCCTGAACAATCAGCAGCATGTTTTGTAGGCTGAAGAACTAACAGAACTTTGGACACAATAACTAAAAAAGGAATCTTGGAGGAAAATCTGGAGACAAAGGGACAAACGGAACTAAATGCACTAAATGCCTGTAAGACGTTTACAGAATGACTGCTGTAACAGGATAACAACACAGTTTACGCTTCCCGAGGGTCTAGAAGCAGAAGGTTTGGCCAGCATTCGTCCCAGAGCAGAGCGTGGAAGATGGCCCAAGAATTTCCCAGAGCTAGAAGCCTTCTGCGGGAACAAATAAATGCTCCAAACAAGAACTGAAAGGCTCAACTGCTACGCAAAGTGTTTCATAGAGCAGCTGTCATTTTGCCAAAGGAGGTGTTAATGCTTTGGCAGAAGAGATCATTGTCTCTCTTCTTTGCAGATGGTATTAATAAAGCAGTCTGGCTCAGATATTTAAGAAAATGTTACCGTTGACTTGATCCATTTACTATCACAGCTGTCATGGTGAAAGAGACTGGATTGGTCACTATTCACACCTCACCAATTAACCTAACCCATTTTTAGGCTGTGGGAGGAAGTCGGAGTACCCGGAGAGAGCCCATGCACACCAGAAAATACACTCAACAATCATCAGCTGTTACATGTTTTTCTTTAATAAACCTAGTTTTTCTAAAAGGACAAAATCTGATATATCCAGAAATGTGGGTAGAACTTAAAAGGTTGAATTAAACATAAACCGTGTGCATTGTTTAGCTGAGCTGCTGCGTTTCTGTCGCTTACATGAGATTAACATAGTACTTCAGCAGCCTGTTTTGATGTTTTCTGCTTTATGTCAAAGTCTGTTCAAAAAGTGTATTTCGTGTATTTGTTTAGCATTAAAGGCAATCAGAAAGTTGCCGGTAGCCGTGATGATGTAGGTACTGTGAAAGCGCAACGCCTTTCAGGACACGTTTCAGGAAACCTTTCATTTCACGGCGTGTTGTACTCGTGTAATTATGTATGTGACAAATAAAGAATCGTAAAATATCTAATTTAATTATACCGTGAATCCACGGCTGACAAAGTCTGTTCTGTTATTTAAATATAAAATATGTGAGCACGCACGGGTTTCTTTCTTCCAGTTGTTTCTAAATCATAATACATCCCAATAAATGTTTTTATCGCCGCCTTGTCGCTATTTTAAGCATAGCGGTGTCCAGCAGATATGAAACGTAAATGCGTTACTGGCACCGGATAAGTGTCCCTCTTGCTCTCACCTGTAGGCCCAGGGGGAGATGCTGAGCAGGTTGACCGGGAGGCGGGTCTTGCCGGCGGTCGGGACCCGTGCAGTGGTGGGGCAGGTGAGGTTAAGTTTGTCCTGCGGCTCCAGCTGCAGAGCGTGATGGAAAGCGCTCATCACTCCCACCGAGAGCCGTCCAAAAATCTCCTCCAACTTCTCCTCCGGCATGTCCAGGCAGGACCGCGTCCTGACGGTCTTGTTTCTGACCCGGGTCGCTGCTGCCGGCCGACACAGCGACAGCAGCAGTAGTAGCAGAACGTGGACTCTGTGGGGCATCTCCGCGTTTCTTCTCAGGATGTTGCTGTGCCCAAGTGCGCATCCACCGAAAAACGAACGTTTCCTTTGCGTTCTTAAGTAATGCGTCTGAGAACAAGTGACGTTTGTTCGTAAAAACAGATTTGATCGTTCACGGGTTACTTTCCTCTGTTAAAATCCAGCAAATAGTTGGAAGTGCTGGAAAGCCACACGTTCCACGATCCTGGCGCTGAAGGCGAGGAACAGGCGCGCCACCAGGAAAACTGCAGAGACATTTTTTGTTTTTTGGCACTACACATCCACGGCGTCGCCAGGAGGAATAATTGCCAAATAATTTGAAATTTTCTAACAGTTTGTGAGTGTCACACCTGCTGCTTTGTGTCCATGACGAGAAGACACCACAGAGGAGTCTCTGGTTCTCATTTCTCCTGCGACGTGTGCGTAAAACCCCGACTGAGCGCTGAGGCGGTCTGATGCAGCAGCCAGAGAGAGGCTCAGTTACACTGAAGCACTGGCAGAAAAAAACAGTCCTGCCTGTACCCCAATAAAAAAAAGAGCCCAGCGTTTATTAGAGGAGATCCTGATGCGAGTGGGAAGTCCAGCCTGTTGGATGTGGATCCTGGCTTTGCACCATCTCCACCCCTTAGACCAGAGGTGTCAAACATAAGGCCCGGGGGAGGCAGCAAAGACTCCAGTCCGGCCCACTGCTTTAGTAAATGTGACGGAGAGCTTACATTTCTGGACTTTTATATGTGTTTTCATAAGTTTTTTCATTATTGACTGTAAACTGAGATTTCTGTTTTTGTCACAATAAAAGAACATTTCCCGCGAGTTTAGTTTAGAATTACAGGAAAGCCTGTCCAAGGAGCTGATTTTTTTCTTCTGTAATTTTACACATTTCTTACAGTTTAAGCCCAAACAGTGTGTCAGCATGACTGTTCTTTTATTTACTACAGCAGCTTTTGTTTACCGTGTGGAAAGACTGAGACAGACTGCTGGAACTGAACTTCTTTTTCTTGTAATCGGGGATTAAAAGTGTCGTTAAACTTCTTTACACTGACAAAAAGGGGAGTTCCACTGGTCCGGCCCACTTAAGATCAATGTGGGCTGCATGTGGTCCACAGTATGAAATAAGTTTGACATTCCTGCTTTAGATAACATGCAAATAGCTACGTAACAACGCTGCTAATGTCAGCTCTAGTTTTACCCATGCACTTTGTTTTAAAGTTTTAACAAACTGTCACATTGATACTCAGACTCAACATTATTTCCTTAATGAAATAGTTTCTCTTTTAATGATACAATAAATGACATAAAGATGAAGAAATAAAAAAATAATAAATACAATAGAATAATTACAAAATGCAGAACATGAAACAGAATCTGGAACAGATGAATCACAAACCTTTGCCTTTAAAAGCATCAGAACGGTGAAATGTTTTCCAATTTTTAGCAATGAGCTCAAAGATACAGGGTAATAGTATGGTATGGAATAGTATGTCCTTTTCTTTGAAACCCCGTGTGCTGGACTTAAGAGCCAGAACAAAGCTGTCTGAGGTGTCTCACACTGTCATGTAACCAGCCTTCCTATCACGTACAGAGGCATTCATTTCCCACACGGACATTTAGAAATGGATACATTTTCATTTGACGAAGGACTGAGATGTCAGGTAAAGATGTTCAGTGTGAAAGAGCATCTGGACCATCATGGATTACCAACAGATGTAAATAAACATCTGCTGAACGTGAGTTTAAAACGTCCTGTGGTGAAGCTCTGGGCTCTTGACTTACAAACAGAGATAGCCTTGTGCTAATGCAGCTACTCTGGCAGCAGGTCGTCTCCTAGCTCTTCATCTGCAAAGTCGTCATCCTCCACACGCTTCTTGACTCCCGTCTTTGGTCTGTCCATCTGAGGCCCCAGTGGGTCCACGTAAGACGCATCTACACACAGGAGGAACAGCTTGTGATGAAATAGTTTGGGACGCTGTATCCCGATAGAGACATAATGTCAACATTGTACATCCTTTCTACCAATGCCGTTCTTTTTCTGTGTGTGTTTTTCTCAAGGAGCGCTGCAGAGTGAGATCGTGTGCACAGACCATTTCACTGCATTTTTTGGCATTCTAAATAGATGAGTTAAGATAACTTTCAACATTTAAGTCTGCACAGGTTCATATTTTAAAAACACTGATATAAATATTACTCTGTTCCATTTTTAAACAGCTGCAATGAATTGCATTTAAGGATACACTATTCAAGTTGTTCTTTTCCCTTATACTCAGTGACCCTGCTCTGTTCGTGGTGTGTCACTGCTTGGCTGAGTTGCTGCGGTTGCTAAACTGACTTGTTGCAATGGTGGCATCCTATTACAGTGAGCGCTTTAGAACGTCTCATTCATGCACAAATGTTTGAACAGGCAGGCTGCACGGCCAGGTGCTAGATTTTATACATCTGAGGCAAAGGGACTTACAACACCTGAATTCAAAGATTAGAGGTGCGGCCCAATACTTAAATGACAACCCATGCAGTTTATCTGCAGAGGACTATCCGCTGTGTGCTGCAGACAAAGAAAAACCTTTGATAATATCTTTATGATCATCTAAACCTCAGAATGTGTTTCAACATGGGCTTGAACTCTAAATAGATACACGAATACAGCTCTTTTCTACTTTACTGGACCATTCAAAGACCTTTATAGAATTCAGTCACCCATTCACACAAGCACTTTTTTCTATGCCTGAGTGCTTTTCGATCTTTTCCAATCTAACATTCACACTACAGCTCACTGCAACTCATAATGTGGATGGCTAAATTATCAGAATTCCAGCCATCCATGTAGATGATGTTCCAGCACTAAACGAAATGAAACTGCACTAAGATGTCTATAAACCATCTGTGTGGTTATATATTTACTCATATTTTTCTAAAACAGGCACGTATGTCTTGCACAACACATGAAGTTCAAAGACATAAGATAGTTAGGTAGGTGTTATATCATTAACTGCAGAGAAAAATATGGTTTCCTCACCCAGTTCTTTTGGACTGCTGGCTTCATAAGGCTCATTTGAACCAGGAAGTGACCTCATTTTGGCGCTCAGACGCTCTCCTTTGGTGCTGCTGCTGCTGCGACCACTGTCTGTACAAAAACAAGCACACACCTGCTGACTCATGATCTTTTTTAAAAGCAATACTCACATTCAAAATCCTATTAAAAGCTGTTTAAATATTTAAGCTGTTTAAAACAGCAGTGCCTCTGTCTGTGGGCTGCATGCGACTGAATATAGACGTGCAAAGTTTTCTGGCACACTTTCACGTACAAAATGTCTTTTTCATGGCCCAAGTATCTCGCTGACATTGGCTGAATGTGTGCAGAAAAAGCATTCCTCCAATGTGAAATCACAGTCACTAAATATCACTGACATGTACGACTTGCTGTACAATAATGGACGATTTTTGTGAATACATGGCGCGGTCGAACATGCCTACTGACCAGCTGCTAAAATGCAACACTAATATGCAACACACTCAGGTACTTTTGACAGGATGTAATGAATATGCCGGATAATGTGCACGTGTGTGTTCCAGGCTTATATGACAGGCTGACAGGGGCATGTAGTGATATGAATTACAGACATGACTGCAGACAGCAGCAGCCAACATCTGGCTGCCAGGTAGCCTTGGAAACCTTAGGGGATCGGCAGCAGAAAGCTGAAAAACAGGAAGGAGGCCTGATATTCCACCTTCCCCTCATAGTCCCAAAAAAATCTCAAACTGCTGGCAAACTGAGACCTCGGTTGGAAAATCAACGTTTCCCCCCTGCCTTCCTTTCTTGGACAGTTTCGTTTGCATTTCTCTTTTAGTTTACACAACACATGCTAGAAGCTAGGAGCTGCAACAGAAGTTTCCACAATTAAAGACGTTATAGGCTTGTTTTATACACCTCTGAAACACAAATAACCCTTTATTTTTGCAAGGAGATGGAGATCAATAGAGACGATGCAACTTTCTGGCTTTTAACTATTTTTTCTTATTAAAGATATGTTGAAAAAAAAGTTCAGGTACATTAACCCAACCATATCATTTACGTTTGAAAAGGCACATCACACATGATAGAAAACACAGGTTAGAAAATCCCCACGTTTCGACACACTTCTCTCCTGTTCTGCCACTGCGTTTCACCAGATTCAGACTGCAGAACCACAGCTGTGGAAACGTGAGAAAACAAACCACCAGACTCACACGTCAGTCACGAGAGAGCCGAAGACCTGCAGACACACGAGACCACACAATACGCAGACTTTACAGAAAAGATGGAAAACTCTCAGGTGAACGAGAGGGTTTTCCCCGAATATCTCGGAGCCGTCTGAGTGCTCGCTCCCCTCCTCCTCCTCCTCCTTTCAGTGCAAAAAATGAGCACAGTCCAACATCACGGCTGCCTGTCAAACGATTTCTGGATCAGGTCCATTTTTTCTTCTTCACTTGGGAAACTCACTTCTGCTATGCGTGCCTTGCAGTGCTTCACTCAGATGGTTTTAATCACTTAAAAGATTTCCAATGACAGGAGCTCTTATAAAATTAAAAATAAAATAGGTCTGATGCTAATGCTCCGTAGAAGAGAATCACCTGTATGTGCAGACACCTTTGCCTGACTGAAGAACTTTATCAGAGGTCATCTTAAGATTTCACAGCAGAGACTCACAGTACAAACCTAAACATGCTGTTGCTGCTACACAGCTTCCCTTAGTCTAATTTATGTGAATTTTGCTGTTTTGGCTCTTAAAGCTCATTGGCAGGAGAGCTGACTGTGCATTTGAGGGCAAACTACAGATGTAACAACTTCTGAAACATCTCTACTCTATCCCTACTTTTAAGATTAGGCTTAAAATGTTCATTTTTGCTAAAGCATATAGTTAGGGCTGGATCAGGTGACCCTGAATCCTCCCTTAGTTACGCTGCAATAGGTGTAGGCTGCTAGGGGATTCCCATGATGCATTGGGTATTTCTTCTTCAGTCACCTTTCTCACTCGTTATGTGTTACTGGACCTCTCTGCACTGAATCATACTTGTTATTAATCTCTGGCTCACAGATGGCCCCGCCCCTCCCTGAGCCTGGTTCTACTGGAGGTTTCTTCCTGTTAAAAGGGAGTTTTTCCTTCCCACTGTTACCAAAGTGCTTGCTCATAGGGGGTCATATCATTGTTGGGTTTTCTCTGTTTGTATTATTGCACGATCTACCGTACAATATAAAGCGCCTTGAGGTGACTGTTGTTGTGATTTGGCACTAGATAAATAAAATTGAATTGAATTGAATGAACTGAGCAAAGAAACAAGCCCCAGTTTATTCAACAATCTCCTTGTTTGACTACAAATGGCCAGAATTACAGGCACATAGCCTGAAAGTCACAGTCTTACATACCTCTCCCCGAGTCCAGTAGTGGACTGAAGTGTTTAGACTCAGACTGAGATACTGGGAAGCAAAGAGGAAGCAGAGAGGGAATACAGATGAAGACAGAAGATCCAGAGAAGAAGATGAGAAGGAAGGAGAGATTACAGAGCTAGACTAAAGGTCTTACAGCACAGAGAGTAGCAAAAAAGTCTGCCACTTGCAATGAAAGATGATGACAATAAATGTGTCTGCGGTTTACAACCTCGCTTCTCTC